CTACTCCTGCTGCTGCTACTACTACTAATTACTCCGACGGAAGGACCCCACATGATAATCTGTTTAGCTTTCCCCCTCCAGAGGCCGAACATTGCCGAACACCTGCCGTCGTGATTTTGTCACACCGCGGGGATGTCAGGGAAGGTAAAAAGGCTACTCTTGTCTCACCCCTCCCTCCTCTGAACGCATCAAAGTTCGCATTCCCCCCCTTTCCTCCTCCTCCTCCTCCTCCTCCTCCTCCTCCTCCTCGTCCTCCTCGTCCTCCTCGTCCTCCTCGTCCTCCTCGTCCTCCTCGTCCTCCTCGTCCTCCTCGTCCTCCTCCTCCTCCTCGTCCTCGTCCTCGTCCTCGTCCTCGTCCTCGTCCTCGTCCTCGTCTTCGTCCTCGTCCTCGTCCTCCTCCTCCTCCTCCTCCTCCTCCTCCTCCTCCTCCTCCTCCTCCTTCCTCCACCCTGACTACCCCTCCTCTGAATCCTCCTGCCTCCGCCTGCCTCCTCGTCCTCCTCCTCCTTGTCTACCCCTTCTCTGAATGCATCAGATTTCGTACCCCCCTCCTTTCCCTGTCGCACACATTCGTCCGGCCTGAGGAGAGGACCTTCGCACGCTTAGCCCCTAGCAACGTCCGCCCGACATCGCCGATGTTGACGTTGCTGCCCCTCCTCTTCCTCCTCCTCCTCCTCCTCCTCCTCCTGCCCCTCCTCCTCCTCCTCCTCCGCCTCCTCCTCCTCCTCCTCCTCCTCCTCCTCCTCCTCCTCCTCCTCCTCCTCTTTCCTCCTCCTCCTCCTCCGACCCCTCCTCACGACTCGGTCTGGCGCTGGCCCCCTCCCCCTCCTCCCCCTCCTCCCCCTCCTGCTGCTCCTCGCCTCCTCCTCCTCCTCCTCCTATCCTCCTCCTCCTCCTCCTCCTCCTCCTCCTCCTCCTCCTCCTGCTCCTCCTCCTGCTCCTCCTCCTGCTCCTCCTCCTGCTCATCCTCCTCCTCCTCCTGCCCCTCCTCCTGCCCCTCCTCCTCCTCCAGGGCCCCCGGGCACGTGCATCTATGAAAAACTCTCTCAAATGCTAATTGTTTCATAATGAAAATAGGGCGTTGCGTCGTTTTCGTTCTCGAGGGGCCGTTTTCGTGACGCATGCCAAAGAAAAACGTACATTGCGTTCCATCCCCCTATGGGGAAATTGCAAAATGTGCTGCTCGTCATCCGCAATCATCGATTCCAAAGCGTTTCGTGAGGGTTTTCCATCGAGCGCCCGCGCCAGGCTCAGCTCCGTTTCCGGCCAACGCGATTCCTCCCCCGACGCCCGAGAAAAAAATTGCGTTAGTGACCCCTTAGTCCATTGAAACATCGGTGTTAGGAAAAGGGGGGGTCAGACAAAAACTGGAGAGGGGACCTTTTCAAGTTCCCTCTCCAGTTGGAACGCGCGGGAAAGTGAACCTTTGCAAGTTCCCTTTCCCGCTGCTGGAGAGGGAACCTTTTCAAGTTCCCTCTCCAGTTGGAACGCGCGGGGAAGTGAACCTTTGCAAGTTCCCTTTCCCGCTGCTGGAGAGTGAACCTTTGCAAGTTCCCTCTCCAAGGGAAAGTGAACCTTTTCAAGTTCCCTTTCCCGCGAATGAAGGGTGAACCTTTTCAAGTTCCCCCTTCACTCCGACGACAAGGGGGGACAGGGAACCTTTGCAAGTTCCCTCTCCCGCAGCTAGAGACGTCGAACCTTTTCAAGTTCCCTCTCCAGCCCAATCCTGCCACGAACGGGAAAGTGAACCTTTTCAAGTTCCCTCTCCCGCAGCTAGAGAGTGAACCTTTTCAAGTTCCCTCCCCAGCCCAAACGAACGCGGGAGAGTGAACCTTTTCAAGTTCCCTCTCCCGCCGACGACGACAAGGTTGGCCAGCAATTGGACGTGGGCAAGTCGAAAGAGAATATTCAGGCCGCAGGAGCGAGTTCCCCTTCGATCCTCCAAGTGACGACAAGAGACGGTCCTCAGACGGGACTACCCGCACCGCCCACAGACAAAGTTCCCGCTTGATACTTCCCCCTTGTTCAGGCCGCAGGAACTGAGGAGCCCAAAAAGCTCGCTCGGATGACCCGCTCGGGTTCGAACATGAAGTGCGTGCCCCACAGGGATGGAGCGCCCGCCTGATACTTCTCCCATATTCAGGCCTCAGGAGCCCAAAAGCGACGACAGTTACAGGATTCCGATGGCCCGCCTCGGATTAGTAACATGATCTGGGGGCCCCATAGGGAGGAGACCCCCGCCTGAGACTTCCTCGCAATTCACTCACAGACGAGGCTCCCGCCTGATACTTCCTCCAAATTCACGCCCCAGGAGCCCAAAAGTGACGACAGTTACAGGATCCCGATGACCCGCCTCGGATTGGTAAGATGATCTGCGGGCCCCATAGAGAGAGGCTCCCGCCTGAGACTTCCTCGCAATTCACTCACAGACAACGCTCCCGCCTGATACTTCCTCCAAATTCACGCCCCAGGAGCCCAAAAGTGACGACAGTTACAGGATCCCAATGACCCGCCTCGGATTAGTAAGATGACCTGCGGGCCCCATAGGGAGAGGCTCCCGCCTGAGACTTCCTCGCAATTCACTCACAGACGACGCTCCCGCCTGATACTTCCTCCAAATTCACGCCCCGGGAGCCCAAAAGTCACGACAGTTACAGGATCCCGATGACCCGCCTCGGATTAGTAAGATGATCTGCGGGCCCCATAGGGAGAAGCTCCCGCCTGAGACTTCCTCGCAATTCACTCACAGACGAGGCTCCCGCTAGATACTTCCTCCAGATTCACGCCCCAGGAGCCCAAAAGTGACGACAGTTACAGGATCCCGATGACCCGCCTCGGATTAGTAAGATGATCTGCGGGCCCCATAGGGAGAGGCTCCCGCCTGAGACTTCCTCGCAATTCACTCACAGACGACGCTCCCGCCTGATACTTCCTCCAAATTCACGCCCCAGGAGCCCAAAAGTCACGACAGTTACAGGATCCCGATGACCCGCCTCGGATTAGTAAGATGATCTGCGGGCCCCATAGGGAGAGGCTCCCGCCTGAGACTTCCTCGCAATTCACTCACAGACGACGCTCCCGCTTGATACTCGAGTGAGTGACGGACTGACTGAGTGATGTGTGACGCCAACGGATGATATCCTCATGTGATGATCATGATGAGTGAGTGAGTGAGTGAGTGAGTGAGCGATCGAGTGGTGTATGGGTAAGTGTGATGGTGCTGAGGAGGAGAGGCGTGGGTCATGATGATGATGACTGATGATGATGATGGCGAGAAAGAGGAAGAGAGAGAGAGAGAGAGAGGGTGTGAGATCCTGCGCGGGGGGTGTGCAGAGAAAACAAGAACCCCACTTTGGATGTGGGGAGTAAAAATACGAATGCGAACAACACTAGCCGTGCTATTAATACTCTTAATCATAGTAGTATTAATAATAACAATAATAACCATACTACTAAGACCCTTAAGAAAACACATACGTGTAACATTACTACTAATACTTCTGATAACGCTGGTACTGCGATTAACGATGATACTGAGATTAGTGATGCTACGACTTATGCTAATATTACTAATCACAGTCATAATACGATTCTGAGTAATTTACCTGGTAATGGCACTCGTATTAAAGTTTCCAGTGCCAATGCTAATAACCATGACACTTTTATCAATAATACTAATAAGCAACTTGTCCGTACTACGGAAATAGTCATACGAATAATATGAAGAGGAGGGGTGGGGGAGAAGGATGAGGAGGAAGAGGAGGAGGAGGGGGGGATGAGGAGGAGGAGGAGGAGGAGGAGGAGGAGGACGAGGAGGAGGAGGAGGAGGAGGAGTGGAGGACGGGGAGGAGGAGAAGGAGGAGGAGGAGGAGGAGAAGCGGAGAAGAAGCAGGAGGAGGAGGACGGCCGTGGTAGGTGGCATCTTTCGTCTTCACTATTTGAGAAGCTCTCATGGGGTTCGTTTGGGCCGTCGTGGGGTTGTCTTGGTCTCCTGTGAGGCAGTCTGGGGGGTCCCTTGGTGCCCTCGTCGGCCGTCCTGTCTTGGAACTCTTGGGCCGTCTTGGGGCCATCTTGGCTTTATGATGGGTGTCTGGGGGCCGCCGTGGCGCCGTGTTGGGCCAGCGAAATTCTTTCAAGGACGTCTTGCGTCTCACGGGGTGCTCTCTGTGGTGGCTTGGGCCAGTCTTGGATGCCTCTTGGGCCATAGTGGGACCTCTTGGGCCATTTTGGGACCCTCTTGGGGGCCTCTCGGGCTGTCTTGAGGCCATCATGGAGGCTTTTGGGCCGTCTTGCTGACGGAAGACAGAGAAGGCGGGACTGCGAAGCAAACACAAAGGATGATCAATGCATATGGCTTCTTCGGACCCTGTTGGAGGTCTTCTTGTGGCTCTTTTAGGCTCTGTTGGAGACATCGTAGGCCTTCTTGGGGCCATGTTGTGCCGCCTCGGGGCCCTCTTGGGCCGTCTTCGTGGCATCTCGGGCCCGCTGGGTGGCCTTGGTTGCCTGCGTGGGCCGTCTTGGAGGCTTTTTTTTTGGGTGGGGGGGGGGCTTATGTATATAAACCACGGGGCCGCGGCCTCGGGAGCGTGGGTCAAGTCTTTTTTGAAGAGGGATTGTGGCCTCGCCAAGTGGGGCGAAGCATGCAGGGGGGACGGCAGTGAGGGGGGCCACCCCTTTTTTGAAGTGCAAACGCCCTGTCAGACAGCACTCGGCATATTTCCACGCCCCGGCGTGCACAAGGCACGGTGGCGGAGTGCACGAACACTGCAGGCGACGCGGGCGGGCAAGGGCCCCGGCGAGGGCAGCCCGGAAGAAGCACAGCCAACATGTCGATGCACTCCCGATGCGGCCACGAGGCGCATCGAGCCGAGTCCAGGGCCACGTGGGCAGCCACCTGTATGCGTGAGCGTCGCAGGGCGAATACCTTTTGCTGGCGTTCCTGCCACGGGCGTGTGGTGAGCGTCCCCCCCCCAATTGCCGCATTGCTTCGCCGAGAAAAGAATGCGGCGTCCACAGCTTGGGCTGCACTGCCCGCTGTTCTTCTCTGCAGGTTCGTGGTCTCTCCTCTGTTGCGCTTGTTGCTTTGGCCCGGCGGTATGTGCACGAAGGGTGGTTGGCAAAGCAATGCCCCGCTAAGTTTTTCTCACAGCTAAGGTGTTGGATGGGGGGGGCGGGGGGCAGGCGTTTGGACGGGGCGGGCGTGGATGAGTGAGGGCCAGGGTGCAGAACGCGGAGGGCGGGCAGCAGGCGGTATCGGGCTGGATCGGGGATCTGAGCGGTGATGAGGCAAGCGACGGGGCGGTAGTGCCAGTGGGCCGCGTGTGTCCTTCGTGGGCTGCGTGCGCCTTGTGTGGCCCCCGAGGGTCTCTGGAGATTACTGGGAGGGGGCGCTCTTCAGGTAGCGCGCAGGGCGACCGTTGGGAAGTAGTGTAGGGCGGAAAGTGACGGCAGGAGGCGGTGGCAGAAACAACAGTGGGTCGAGAAAAGAAGTCACACTTGCACTTTCCCGTGCTCAGTTGTAGTAGTGTCTGTACCTGCCCACACCCGACGGCGTAACAGGAGATACGTCGTAGTTTTCCCGGAGGGCAGCGCCGTGAACTAAACAGGAAATCGCCACCCAGTAAGGATGGACAAGCATCTGCTGGGTAACGAAACAAATTGACAAGCTAGCAAAAAAGCAGCGTCACGCGGCGGCGGAGTGGCCGGAAGAGTGGCGGGCTGAACGCATTGCGCGAGGCGCGCGCCACTACTTCGAGCGGCGTCGTTTCCCGGCAGAGCTGGTGGGTATACGGGCGCGCGTGTGGCAGCGGTGGCAGCCGAGTCGGGCATGGGCCGAGTCGGGCCGCGCCTCACGAGGCAAGGGTGCCACACAGCGTTTGAGCACGCCGGGGGCCCCACCTGCGGCCTCAGGACGTGTGCATGGCGCCGTCGTGTTTTCAAACCTCTCACTCCCACCGTGTCCCACAGGGGCCCCCCGTGCAGGTTGCCACGGGTTCCAGGGACCACAGACCAACGAAAGGTATGCCGTCAGATGTGCGCGTCGCCTACCAGGCCTCTCCTTGCCACCGTTGTGGGGAGGCACGTTGGGGAAAGCAGACGGGCCCAAAGCAAAGCTCGCAGTGTCACACCATCAAGGCGAACTGGTGGACTGCGCGACCACGCGCCTTGTGACGTCTTCAAGACTCTTCCGACGATGGCTCCCGGGGAGGCGCTCTGTCAGGAGGCCAGGCGGCAGGTTCGGATCGTCGTCGGGCTCCCACCTTCCGTGCCTGCTCAAGCAGCGGGGGGGCCATGCGGTCGCCTCTGCGTCACGCCGATGGTGTCACCACGTCGTGCCCTGGCCCTCTGGTGCAGCGCGTCGGCGGGCGGCCACCTCTCGTCCGAGCAGGCCTGTTGGCGGTGCGGCCGACGGGCCAGCGCTGCCATGCCCCACAGGGGCTGGCAGGCAGCGGGATTGTACCAGTGCCCAGTTCGCTGCTCGCCTCGGGCACGCGCTGCTGTTGTCGCGTACGCTGCTCAGCGTGCTGCTAGTTGCCCGGCTGTGTTTTGCCCTGCACTTGGTTTGCGCGGCGGCCCCGGGCGGCAGTCAGGACAATGAGATTTCTTTTTTCGCGTGCTCACGATACAGAAGTTTTTCATCGTGCGCCGTCGCGGGCGTGGGGCTGACGCTAATGAGGCCTGCCTTTCTGAACAGCGCCCCCTTCATGATCGTGGTGCTGGGCGCGAGTCCGCGCCGCGCGCTACAGCCTTGCTGAGGCCAGCGTCGCCCAGCGTGCCCCGTTCAAAACTATTTGCTGTGCGCTGTTAAGTGATCGCCGTGACGAGGGTGGGGGCCCGTTCTTCCAGCGAAAGTTGTCGTGGCGGTGGTCGGTTTGAGGCTGGCGGATGTTCACCCAGCAAGACCAGGGCGCCCAGAGGCTGCACGTGGCGGAGGCCGAGGTCGCCAGCAGGGCTGGCACAGTTTTTTTTGGAGCGCTCCGGCGCGGCGGACCAGGTCAAGGGTGACCAGCCGGGACAGGTGTCGTAGGCGTCCGCGCGGGCGCTCTATGTTGGTCGAGTGGGCGGGACTTCCTTGGGCCAGTGCCGCAGGGGCGGTATCGGCGACTATGTCAGCGTCGAAACTGAGGTCAGCGGTGTGGGCGTCGATATTGAAGTCGACTGTTCGCAACAATGCGGGCGTCGCTGCTGGAGTCGGTGCTGGACTCGTGGATACGAGTGTGAGTTCTCGGGTCCATGGTGCGGGCAACGATGCGGGTGTGTATGCTGGAGGGAGTCGACAAAGAGGGCGATGTAACTGATGTACTGATGTTGCCTGTGCGGGCGGCAGTACAGGCGCCGATGTTGGAGTCAGTGACGCATGCAGTGATGGTGGAGTCGGTAAACTTGGCGTGGGTACAGTCGTCTCTGCTGGGGTCGGCGGTGTGTGCGTCGATGTTGATGTAGGCGGCGCTGGCGTTGGTATTGGAGTTTGCGGTGCCATCGAACAGCCCCGCTTCAGTACTAAGGTCGACGGGGTTGGCGATGATGCAGGTGAAAGTGCTGGGGTCGCTGATGCAGGAGTCGACGACGTTGGCGTCGATGCTGGGGGCTGTGCAGCCTTGAGGGCTCCTTGAAAATGGGGGGGCGTGCTTGAGCCCCCCGACGACAGGGGGCCGTGGGCAGGAGAGGCTGGTGCTTGGTGCCGGTGGCCTCAGGGATTCGGCGCAGGTGTCGCCCAAGGCGACGCCGCCGCACGCACCTAGGACGGCCGGGGATGTCGAGGCCAGCGTCGCGTCAGGAGTCGAAGGGGGGGCCTTCGATGGGCAGGTTCGCCCCACCTGCCCTTTGTGCATAGTTCTCAAAATTTCAAAATGTCGGGGACGCCATTGTTGACATTTCTGCGGACCCTGCCCGTGCACACTGGTGGTCTGTGCACACAGGAGTGTATAGACAGTTCCGGCGAATAGTGTCGTGCCAAAAGTCGCACCGCAGACTCCAAGGTGCCTCGAGGGAGTTTTTCCCGAATTTCGGTTAGGTGCTGAGAGCGAACTTTGAGAAACCCCTTGCGGTCACCCCCGAGGTTGCCACCCTGCGGGCGGAGGCCCTCTCGAGACGCTTCCAGGCGGTCGAGGAGGGGGAGGTTCGCGAAACTCCTCCGCGAGCAGGCGCCCGTGGGGAAAGTCTCGCCCTGTGGGCGGAGGCCCTTTTGAGGAACTTCGTTGCCACCTGGAGGGAGGCCTCCAGGGCGTTTCTCAAGAATGCGGCCCTGGGCGGGCCCTCGCGTGCGGGCGCCCTTTCGAGTGCTCCCTTGCGTCCGCCCGGCAAGGGGGTGTCTCAAGAAGTTGGGCCGTGGGCGAACGCAGGCCAGGAAAATCAGGCACCGCGGGCGGAAGCCCTGCTTGCGGGTGCCCTGCGGGGAACTTCTCTTTGCGACCTACTTTTTTCTTAAAACATGTTTTTTTTGTTTGTTCTCTCTCTTTCTCTCCATCTCTTTTTTTTTCCTCTCTCTTTCTTCGTTCTCTCTCTCCTTCTTCTTCTTCTTCTTTTTCTTCTTTTTCTTCTTCTTCTACTTCTTCTCCTTATTATTCTTCTCATTTTCTCCTCCTTCCCCTCCCCCTCCTTCTCCTCCTCCTCCTCCTCCCCCTTCTCCTTCTTGTTCTTCTTCTTCTTCTTCTCCATCTTCTTTTCCTTCTTCTCCTTCCTCTTCTTCTCTTCTTCTTCTGCTACTGCTTCTTCTTCTTCTTCTTCTTCTTCTTCCCCTTCTTCTTCTTTCTCTTCTTCTTCTTATCATTATTATCATCATCATCATTATGTTTCTTATTATTATTATCCTTATCTTTCTTTTTTTTATCATTCTTCTTCTCCTCCTTCTTCTCCTTCGTCTTTGTCTTCTTCTTCTTTTTCGATTTTCCCTTTGTTTTCAACTCCCTCTTCTCCCTCCTCCTCTTCTTATTGTCCTTCTTCTCCTTCATCTTCTGCTTCTTCTTCTTCCTCCTCTTATTATGTTTCTTATTCTCTATCTCCTTTTTTATTCTTCGTATTCTTCTCCTTCTTCTTCTTCTTCTTCTTGTTCTTGTCATTTTCTTCTTCTCCTTCTCCTTCTCCTTCCCATTCTTCTTCTTCTTCCTCTTCTTATTATTCCTTCTTCATCTTCTTTTTCTGATTATTCTTATTCTTCTACTCCTTCTTCTTCTTCTTCCTCCTCCTCCTCCTCCTTCTTGTTCTTTTCTGCTGTTTCTTCTAGATGTTATTTGTTTTCCTTCTCTGATCAGTTCTACTTATACTTCTTCTTCTTCATCTTCCTCTCCTTCCTCCTCTTCTTCCTCTTCTTCCTCTTCTTCTTCTTCTTCTTCTTCTCCTCCTCCTCCTCCTTCTTCTTCTTCTTCTCCGTCTTCTTCTTCTACTTCTACTTATTCTTCTCCGTTTTCTTCTTATTCTACATCTTCTTAAAACTCGGCCGCAGGCGTGCGTGTGCGGGGTGTGTGTGGGGGTACGCAGTGCGGGCGAAGGCCATTTCGTGAACCCCCCCGGCGGCCACGCCAACGGTGGTCTCGACTGGGTTTCTCGAAATTCGGCTGTGGGCGGGCGCCTGCGGGAAAATCTATACCATTTTAATTATTTCCCTGCGGCCACCCCAGAGTTGGCCTCGAGGGAGTTTCCCGAAATGCTTTTGCGGGCGGGCGCCCGCGGGAAAAATCCCGCTCTGTGGGCGGAGGCCATTTCGAGAAACTCTTCTGCGGCTACCGTAAGGGCGGCGTCGAGGGAGTTTCTCGAAATTCGGCCGCGGTGGGCGCCTGCAGTGAAATTCCCGCCCTGCAGGCGTCCCTGGTGGCCTTGGGAGGGGTTTCGGAATTCGGCCGCATGCAGGAAGAATGCCCGGTAGCAGGCGCATGCCCTGTCGAGGCACTCCCCAGCGACCACCCCCAGGGTGGCCTTGGGGTTATTTCTCAAAATTCGGCTGTGGGCGGGCGCCTGTGGGGAAACTCTTACCTTGCGGGCGCATGCCATTGCGAGCGGGTGGCCTCAAGCGAGTTTCTGGAAGTTCGACCGCGGGCGGGCGCCTGCAGCGAA